GTTTAATAGGGAGATAGATAAGATATCAAGCACAGGGGCTTTTAAGATCATAAGGACGCCAGGCACAGTGGCTCATGCCTGTAATCCTAGCACTCTGGCACTCTGGGAAGCCCAGGTAGGTGCATTGCTTGAGCTCACAAGTTTGAGATCAGCCTGAGCAAGAGCGAGACCCCCGTCTCTAAAAAAATGGCCAGGCGCTGTAGTGGGTGCCTGTAGTTCCAGCTACTCGGGGGCTAAGGCAAGAGGATCTCTTGAGCCCAAGTGTTTGAGGTTGCTGTGAGCTCTCTCACACTATGCTACTCTACCGAGAGTAAGAAAGTGGAACTCTGACTCAAAAAAAAAAAAAAAAAAGAATCATAGAGACTAGGCTAGTCAACTATGTGAGATGTATGAAGAAATTATGATTAGGGGGTTGGGAGAAGAAAAGCCTTCATAGCAGAAGAGAGTCTTCACTTCATGATTGATGGATTAAGGTTTACTAGGTGGAGTTTGGGGAGAGACATGCCAGAAGAAGTAACAGTGTAGACAAAAACACAGATGTTAAGTTCCTCGGCATATTCTGTGGCTATAGTATGGGTGGGAGAGTGAAAACAATGAAAGAATCTGGAGAGATCATTAGGACTAGATCAGGGGGACTAAATTAGGGGACATTGAATGCTATGCTGCAGCTCAGACTGTAGCCTGTAGGTAGTGGAGAGCTGTGGAATGTTTTTGAAAAAGAAAGTTTTGTGATTAAGTTTATGTCTGAGAAATATCACTCTGAATGATACGTTGGAGGTTGGAAGGGGCAGGTTTAAAGACAGAACAGTGAGGAAGCAGTTACAGTAGTTCAGGTGAGAGATATTAAGAGGTCAGATCGGAGCTGTGCATAACTGTGGAAATAGAAAGAGTAACCAGAAGCCATAAGACTGGATGACACTTTATTTTTGACCCTCACATTAGTATTATGAAGCAGTCAGGGAATGATTATTATTGCCATTTTATGAGACAACAAACTAAAGCTTAGGTTAAGTGACTTGCCCAAGGTCCCACAGCTAATAAGTGGCAGAGCCCAGGCTAAAACTCAGATGTCCTGATTCAGTACGTTGTTCAGGATGATGGTCCCTTGCTGCCTGTTCTCCTTGTGAGTGTGCTTAACAGATTGTTCAAGTGTCAGAGGGCGTGAGGGCACCGTATCTAGGGAAGTGAACAACCCAGCACCTAGATGTGGGCAGCATGCTGTGACTGGGCGCATGCCCCTTCACTGCCAAGGGTTCTCTCTGTTGTTTTTTTTTTTTAATTGAGGGATAACATACACAGTAAAGTGTAACATACACAGTAAAGTACGTGAAGTACACTAAGTCTTAAATGTACAGACTTAATGTTTTGACATGTGTATACACCTATATTTAACTACCAGCCAGTTTGAAATAAAAAACATTTCTAGGAAGTAGTACCTTTCAGGCACCCAAGAGCAGGCATGCCTGTCAGAGCAGTCTGTCTATCCCATAGCTCTGTGAGTTTCAGTTGGAACTGTCTTAACTCCTACAGCTGAGCTCTGAATCGCTACCACCAACAATGTTTTACTTTAGGATGGTACATGGAGGAGCTAGATCATATAGTACAACTAACAAATGGGGAGGTCAAGTTGCCAGCTATTATTTGTTTTTCATTTTCACATTTATTCAGTTGTTTAAATTATTAAATATTCAAATATAGAGCAGCGCCTTTGGCTCAAAGGAGTAGGCGCCAGCCCCATATACCAGAGGTGGTGGGTTCAAACCCAGCCCCAGCCAAAAAAAAACTGTAAATATTCAAATATAGTACAGAAAATACTAGTACTAATTTGCTTTCTTTAAAATGAAAACAGAAGAAAATACTCTTTTATTCAAAAAAACATAGAGTGTAGTTCATGTGATTAGTTGGAAAAGGCATAATCAAAGGCACAGCTGCATTGCTTCTTCCTGGTTAATCTGGAACATTATTTTACTGTGTATCATGCTGTCTTGTTCACTCCCTGGTTGGCGTGTGGCTGTGTTGCATCCTCAGCTAGACCATAAGTACTTTGTGTGCGGTGACCATGACCTATGTGTATTCCTGTCTACCGCGGCGCTCCCCTCAGTGCTGAATTCAGTGTAGGCCTCAGCACTCTTTAGTTCATTTTGATTTACTTACTTCGTCACACAGTCCTTCAGGCAAATGTCAGACTTAATGGTTTATGATAACAATTGTGGTAAAGGATGTACTATTTAGAGGAAAATACTGGAGTGGAACAGAACTTCCAAATTCCCCCAATTCCTATAGCCATATTCAGGCCTTCTGCCCTTGGTGGAGTTCCTATGGGGTCTCAAGGGCATGGGCTTGCTGTATATGACATTTCAGAGCTACATGTTTCACTTTTTAGAGAGTTGTTTTGAGTGACCACAGCTTTACAGCCATGTAGATTGGCAGTTTCTAAATTTGGAGACATCTTGATAAGATTTTTTAACACTAATTGGACTCTTCATCCCCCTCTATTACCTCCACAAAAGAAACCCAAGATGATTGCTTTTAAAATGGACTCCTGGCTCGGCACCTATAGCTCAACCGGCTAAGGCGCCAGCCACGTACACCTAAGGTGGCGGGTTCGAATCCCCAGCCCGCACCCACCAAACAACAATGACGGCTGCAACCAAAAAATAGCCGGGTGTTGTGGCGGGCGCCTGTGATCCCAGCTACTTGGGAGGCGGAGGCAGGAGACTCGCTTGAGCCCAGGAGTTGGAGGTTGCTGTGAGCTGTAATGCAACGGCACTCTACCCAGGGCGACAGCTTGAGGCTCTGAAAAAAAAAAAAAAAAAAAGGGCTCCTCCTCCTACATTGTCTGCAGAACCACATCTTGATGTCTAACAAAGGCCCTGGACTCTACATGGAGTTCTCTTGGGTCTCCAATTCTCTTGCCAGAATTCTCCTTTTAGTGTCACTTTCCTGCCCATGATTTCCTTCTCATTTCTAACATCTGCTGTATATATTGCAGGCCATTAATGCAAGCTCAGAGTCAGCCTATAATAGCCATAGTTCTAGCCTTCGGTTAACAAAAACAAGAGACTCTCCTACCTTCTCTGGCCCTGGTACTTCCATGATTGAAGGATCCAGAGGCATTACCCGCTACCCAGGTGGACAGAGGGGGTTACAGTGTTTCTTTGGGGGTAAAATATCCTTGTCCTGGTGGAATTAGACTGTATACAGGCATATTTTCTTCTCATACCACCCTGTCTTACCTTAGCCCCTTGTTAAAATGTTTCAAGTATATCTGTTGCCAATGCGGCCCCATCTCCTGCTAATATATTTTAAAACACCCAATATCTGTGACTCCCAAGACCTTATTACTTATTTGAGTATAAAAAATATTGCTAAAATCATTCTTTTTCCCATAATTAGAAATTTGGGTTAAGAATATTTCTCCTGGCCAGGTGTGGTGGCTCATACCTGTAATCCTAGCACTCTGGGAGGCTGAGGCAGGTGGATTGCTTGAGCTCACAAGTTCGAGACCAGCCTGAGCAAAAGCAAGACCCTGTCTCTACTAAAAATAGAAAAACTCAGGCAAGAAGATCACTTAAGCCCAAGAGTTAGAGGTTACTGTGAGCTATGATGCCACAGGACTCTACCAGGGCAACAGCTTGAGATTCTGTCTCAAAATAAAAGAAAGAAAGAATATTTCTCCTGGCTGGGCATAGTGGCTCATGCCAGTAATTGCAGCACTTTGGGAGGCTAACGCAGGAGGGTCACTTGAGGTTGGGAGTTTGAGACTAGCATGAACAACATTAATAAAATCCCATCTCTACAAAAAATATAAAAATTAGCCAGATATGGTGGTGCATACCTATTGTCCCAGTTATTTGGAGGTTGAAGCAGGATGATGGGTTGAGCCCAGGAATTTGAGGTTGTAGCAAAGTATGATGATGCCACTGCACTCTAGCACAAGCACTAGAATGAGACACTGTCTCAACAAAATGGAAAAATAATATTTCTCTCCTAATGTTTGGAATTATAACAAGAGAAATAGTTAAAAAGTTAGGCATCTCCTTCCCCTTTGGAACCTTATTTTCTCTCTCTTTACCCTCAGGGTACCATAAAGGTAAGTGTTTTAGTTACTCCCTATTTTAGAACATATGAATTATCATCTCTCAAATTTCTCAAGCTGAGCTTTGAGTCAGCCTGGGAAGTCTCTGCAGATCTCAAACTGGGCTTCATTTCTATTTCACATGTGCCTCAATTGATGTTTACTTTCTTAAAGGCCCAAAACATCATCTCTAATTCATTAGGAGCTATCTCAGGTAGGGCACTCCTTGTAGTACCTCATCAGGAGATACTTAGGGGTATGCAAGAAATATGTCTATCTGGGCCCAGCTAAATGTACAGGAGGAGTTTAGCAAGGGATGCCCCACTGGGTTGCTAGGTTTAATAAAGCCACATCACCCTGCCTTTTAAGTTAACATGGCCAGACCTTTTAGAAGAGAAGGTAGTCCAATAAGTTTCTTGTAATATGGTAATTATTTGTGGATCTCTCTTTGAAAGCAATTTGTTAAATACACAGATATATTAAAACTTATTAAATCCACAGGTGAGATTCCAGAAACTAACGAGTACTAAACTAAAGAAACTAAAGAGTACTTAGTTGGCCCACTGTATAGCCAAAGGCTCCCAAGTTGCTACATGTTAATGGGAAAGTGGCTGAAGAATATACCAGAGCCTTAGGGCACAATGTCAGTAGTAGGTGGCAGTATTCATGGGCATCTTTGTAGTGGGTAGAAAATCCTGACTTTCTTAGTGTAAGTTCTTTGGTTTCAAATCATTTGGAAGAACATGCTAGCACTCCTCCCAAGCTACTCACCCATCGCAGAAAAGCTGAATCATCCTGTGTGTCTGAATAGGCCCCTTGGGTTATATGTTTCTGTCCAGCACAAGATCCTTGCTTTGTGTCTGTGATTGGTGGTACCCACTTCTTATTTCTGCCTAATGCCATTCTTGTGTCTTCCCTTAAGCAACTCTGCTGATGAAACAGGCCTGGCCACAGAACTCATCTTCCTGTGGCACTGAAGGCACCTTCCACCTCCCAGTGGACACCGGGACCGAGAACCGAACTTACCAAGCATCCTCTGCGGCTTTCAGTAAATACAGCCTGTCTCCTCCTTTCCTTGTTCCCCTTGGTTGGGACTGATTTATTTCTTAGGAAGATAGGAAAGGGAACTTTTAAAAATGACATTTATAATATAAACACATTTTTAAAAGGTTCTTCTGCCTATGCAAAAAATGACCCTCCTCATTGAGGAAAGGTTATCTTTTCTGATCCTGCACCCAGCTTTGAGGAGACACAAAGCAGTGAGGGAGGGAGGAGGAAGTACTCAGCTGGCCAGCAAGTTTGATTGGGAAAAGACTGTTACTACATTTTGGGGGAAAGGAGAGAGGGCACATGCTGAAGGTCTGTGGGTTTTTGGACAGGGAAGGCTCCTCCCCTAGCCCAGAGTTTCTTAACCTCAGCTCTATTGATGTCTGGACCAGATAATTCTTTGTTGTAGGGAACTATCCTGTGCATTGTAGAATGCTTAACAATATCCCTGGCCTCTACCCACCAGATATCAGTAGCACAACCTCACTGTGGCAACCTAAAGTGTCTCTAAACATTGCTGGATGGCCTCTGGGGGACAAAATTGCCCCCAGCATAGGAAACACTGCCCTAGTGGAAGCTACACTGTGGGAGCAAGGTATGTATGGGGAGTCCTCAGAGAGGCCAGAAACCAGCCAGTCACATTAATCTGGAAGTTCAGTGTGGTAACTGATGCTATCGCCTTCCTATCTGATTGTTAACACAAAATGGTTAAATGGAAAATGAGGACCAATGTTTAGAAATTACTAAGTGGCATTTTGACTCTGTATAAGGAAGAACTTTGTGGCTTGCTGGAGCTGTCCAGTAGAGGAATGACTGACTTTGGATGTGGTGAGTGCTAATCTCTTAAACTGGGCCGGCAGAGGTTGGACAAGCCCTCAGAAAGATATTCCAGAGAAGGCCTGGTAGTCTGTGGTTTTGTAAATTATTAGTCTACTAAATAAGTAGATTAGAAGAATTCATTTTTTTTTCTTTTCCTTAAGACATCCAATGTCATTTTCTCCTTAGTTTTCAGTGCCCCAGATGTCAACATCAGCTTATGTTTATACAATATAATTCACCTTTTGGAGAATTGCTTTCATAGTCACCCTCATTTAATCTACACTATTCTCCTATTAAGTTATTTGGGTGGATTTTCATCCCAGTTTGAAAGATGAGGCTCTCAGGAAGGTAATATGCCCCATGCCACCCAACCAGTGAACAGAGCATAATGGGAAAAAGTTATCACTCAGGTTAGGATTCTGTTATTGTTTGTGAGACTGATTTTACTCTTCTAAGAGAGGGATGTCAGCAATAAAGAGTTTTCTCAGACATCTCAGGTAGAATTGAATGAACATATGTCAGATTATATATTTAAGTGGGCATGTACATATTCTCTCCTACATCTACACACATGGATACAGATACACACAGGCATACCTATTGTAGGGTAGCAGAGACCAGGAAGGGAAACGCAAAAAGTTGGAGCCTAGACTTTGTTCTGAATAACCTTGGTAATTCAGGTCCATGCTGTGGATCTTAGTTTTTTCAGCTATGAAGTGAGAGAACTAGACTAGGTCATCTTTCAGTTCTCTCCAGCTATTAGACTCTTAATTCTCTCATCTTGGTGAAGTGAATTCAACATCCTGCACAGTAATAGGGATCTCTCTAGCTCCCTTCCAGTAGCCAGCCAACAAACCTTAGCTCACACATCTTCAAGAATAGGGTACCCTCCAGATGCCATCCTTTCCACAGCTGGAAAGTCTGAGTATCAGAAGGCCTTGCCTTCTACCATGTTGAAATTTTCCTGAAATCCCATTAAATGTGCAGTAGCCACATCCTTTTGTCCCTTCCCAGAAAGGTTGGGACCTAAATCTACCCCTCTCATGCCCACTTCTAAGTAAGTGATGAGTAAACCTGTGCCATTTTTTTTTCAAATTTCAGATTAATATGAGGGTATAAATGATTGGGTTAGAATGTTTGTGTCTGTTAGGTATGGTCCCTGTTGTATTGTGTCCCACACCAGGAGGTGTACCATATCTTAGACTGTGCCCGTTAGGTGAGAGCATGCCAGGCTATGCAATTTTTTAAAGAAAATTGGGATTGACTGACCACCCCACACCCATAAGGTCCCTCCCAGAATTCAAATTTTGTGTCTTCTAGTGCTACAGAAAATTCAGGGCATTTCGACAAATTCAGTTCAATTTCACCAACACTTGTTAAGCCTGTTTGTAATTAGGTCTCCTACTTATTCATCACTCTCTTGTTCAGCTACCAACAAGGAGACTTAGGGGTCAAGGCAAGATTCAGACATAGAGCTTTGTTTCGTCCAGACATATAAATGTGATGATCAATAAACCGATTAGTCTAAAAGGCATCTGTGATGTGAGATCAATGCCTTTGAAGGTGGTAGGGGTGCTGCAACTGAGAAAGATTTATAACAGTGAAGAAGGATTGAAGAGAGGTCTATAAAGGTTTTATCTTGCTACTGTATATACTCTCTTTATTATCCTGTTTGATGAAGCCTAAAATTAAGGTTAGGAACCTGAAAGAACAGGATGTCATAAACAAAGCCTCTTTTATAAGGCAGAGATGGGACTTCTACCATGGGATTCCTATTTTCTCTCATGAGAAAAAAGGTTCAGTTAAGTGAGGACACAAAGACCAGAATAACAAATGCCCAGGATTAGACTATAGAGACCTTTGACTCAGCAAGATCTCTGCCCCAGGGCATGGTGAACTCTGAATTCTGGGCCTAGCTCTGCACTGATACATTGTGCAATTTGGGGAAACTGCCTATGTGGGCTCCAGGTTCTTCCTCAGAAAGGAAGAAGGTTGAATGCAAGGCTCTACTATCCTTAATATTAATAATTAATATTAAGCCTTAATAATTCTAAGACTTTCAGACTGAGAATTCCTTTTAGCATAGCCAGGCCTCCATTGAATGAAGTGAGTCTAAGTTCATTTGTATAAAATCCATGAGACTTTTTGCAAAAAGCCTAGCAGCTTCTTTTACTTAGATTCACGAAATAATAAACCATGATTTTTGTATTACCTAATATAGCCCAAGCTGTATAGCTTCAGGGGATTTTCAGCATTCCTTAATAGTGTTGACAGGACCACTAGTCAGTTATGCAAAGTTTTCTGCAGTGATTTTCTCATAGAGGTCTTCAGAAATACTCAGAGAACTGGAATGTCAACACTACAAAGGCCCTCTGATAGTATCCAGTACAAATGAGAATACTCCCTGAGAGAGGAATTGACTGATAGAGCCCAGGATGAGGGTCCCTAGGCAGCTACTGCAGCCTCATGTAAGATCCTCCTGACATAAATGGTAGCCTGGAGAGCCATTGTGGTTAGAGAAAGTAGCACTGAGTCCTGGGTGGTCCCCACAAGCAGTCTCTCTCTTTTGGCATCTATTTGTTATCTCATCTGTGAAATGTTCACATTGGTCCTTTTTTTTTTTTTTTTGAAGCAAATATTTTATTTTTATTATTATTTTTTTTTTATGATTTCACAGGGACTTTATTGATAGCTCCTTATCAGGAGCATTGAGTCATTTCTATTTCCCTGCAACCCACTGTGGGCCACTTTTGTGCAAGATAGTTCCTTTTTTTTTTAAATTTCAGGTTAATGTGAGGGGACAAACAACAGTAGTCTTAATGATCTCTAAGCTCTCTCCTAGCTCTGCAGTTCTGCTTCTCCCATTTCAAATTATCTGGACAAAAAAGCAAGGCCTTCTTCTGCAGCATCATCTCTTTGGCTGCCAAGGGTGTTTTGGCTACTGATTTGTATTCTGAGTATGTGTGTGTGTCTCATTTCATAACAGGAAAAAAGGGAAACATTCTCAGACAAGGTTATTTTTAGATATGGAAACCAAATTCTACTGCAGTTTCTTGGAGGCTTTTGATTTTCCTTAGAGGAATAGTCTCAACACTTTGTAAATGGTTGTCCTTGTGGCATAGGGGAGGTATTGCAGTTTCCCCAGGGAAGATAAAAATTTCAGAAGCACATTCTCCCAGAGCATAAAGGAAAATTGTCAGCATCATTAGTTTGTTAACTTTAAAGAATCGTAAAACCATAACAATTTAAGCCATAAAATTTTAGCATCTGGAAATCCTAGAGTCTGTGTTCTAAATTGAACAGACCATATTAAGTTTCCATCTCCTGTAGTCTTTTAGACATACTTGCAGGCTCCCAGGACAGGAAGCTTACCATCTTTCTATATGGTGAGAGAGAAAATAATAATGACTGATCTTTATAAAGTACTTTTGTCAGACACTGTTCTGCAAGCTTATTAATTAATATATTTATCATGGGAACCTCATGAAAAAGGTAGTCGTACTACCCATCCACATTTTACAGATGAAAAGACTGATATATTCTACAGCTATTAAATAGCAGAGCTAGGGTTGGACCCAGGCAATCTGTCTCCAGATGCTTGTACCCTCTGCTCTGTGCTGTAAAGCTTTCAGAGACAGGCATCTTCTCATCAGGGATGTCCTACTTTCCTACATAGAAAAGAGATGCTTTCTACTCAGGTAGGACTCTCTGTACCTTGTTCCTTTAAATCAGGGGTCAGCAAATTTTCCTGAAAAGGGCCAGATAATAAATATTTTAGGCTTTTCAGACCATGTCTCTGTCAAAACTACCATTGTATCAAGAAAGCAGCCATAGAATGAGGATGGCTATGTTATAATAAACTTTATTTACCAAAGAAGCTGCAGTTACAAAAAACCATGGCTGAAGTCTGCCTGTCCTGAATGTTGACAGTATAATAAAAGATTCTTTTTCTTTTTTTGTAGAGACAGAGTCTCACTTTATCACCCTTGGTAGAGTGCTGTGGCAGCGTCACACAGCTCACAGCAACCTCCAACTCCAGGGCTTGGGCGATTCTCTTGCCTCAACCTCCTGAGTAGTTGGGACTACAGGCACCCACCACAACACCCGGCTATTTTTTTGTTGCAGTTTGGCCTGGGCCAGGTTTGAACCCACCACCCTCAGTATATGGGGCTGGTGCCCTACTCACTGAGGCACAGGTGCTGCCCGTAATAAAAGATTCTATGGTAAAAACGAATTTGGGGGATATAGTCTCTTGCATATCCCTACCTCAGAGACTCACAGTTCTCTTATCTTTAAACCCTATCATTTAAAAAAACTTCTCAGGGTTAGTGTTATATCTCCTTTGGATTTGTCTGACAGGCTTTCTGCTTTTCATCTGAAAACCCCTAAAAAAATCTAATTTCTCAGGGACACAGTATTAAAAAACAAAATCAGGCTCGGCACCTGTGGCTCAAGTGGCTAAGGCGCCAGCCACATACACCTAAGGTGGCGGGTTCGAGTCCCCAGCCCGGACCCGCCAAACAACAATGATGGCTGCAACCAAAAATGGCCAGGCATTGTGGCGGGCGCCTGTAGTCCCAGCTACTTGGGAGGCTGAGGCAGGAGACTCGCTTGAGCCCAGGAGTTGGAGGTTGCTGTGAGCTGTGATGCCATGGCACTCTACCCAGGGGGACAGCTTGAGGCTCTGTCTCAAAAAAAAAAAAAACAAAATCAGACCTATTTAATCTCCGTTTTACATTGCTATGTCACAGACTTATGGAACTATAGAACTCTTTATTCTTTATTTTAGCAAAACAACTATTAAAATCCCTTGGAACTGATAGTCTTTTGAGCATATTTGGGACATGTCCAGCTTTGGTTTATCTATAAAAGCCCTTTTGTTATATAGATAAGTAAACTAAGTCCCCTTCTAGATGTCTGCAAAGCTAGACTTACCATCTTCCCCTACAGTATCTTTTACTTCTCATCTCACTATTAACTCCACAATCTAAAAACTTTGAAGAATCTACTGCAGACTTCTCCCTCAGCTGACTTGCTTTTCCACTTCTAGTTAGTTAACTTTGTATTAATGTTACCTTCTCTTTAGTGTCCTTTCCACTCCGTCTTCATTGCTATTTATTTCCCAAGCAAAATTGACCACAAAACTAGTTTTTCATGGAACAAACTGTGGATATGCAGGTGGAAAAATAAATGACATGAGTCCAGGGAAGAAGACAAGACATCTTTTGTGGCAGCTGAACAGCAGCTCTCCTATCCTTCGGAGTCATCAGGGGCAGTGGGTGCCAAGCCAAGCTATGATGTAGACTGAGAGGTATCTGTGACATGTAGTAGCTTGCTTTTACTTGGGGTTAAGATAGAAGAGACCCAGGATCTTTAGAACCATGGAATTTTAGTTTAGGAAGAGATCTTCATTCTTGGCCTCCTGATTTTACAAAGTGAGCAACTAAGGCCTAAAGACTTGGCAGTGTCACTGTAAATTAGAGGGAAAGCTAGGACTGAAGGCTAGATCTCTTCACTTTGACTAAAGAACCTTGTCCATTCTGCCCCCAAGTCCCTTAGAGAAACAATACCTTGGAGCTGAAAGGGTCCTTGGTAAGCATCTTGTGGGTGAAAAAGCTGAAGCCTGCAGAGATTCAGTGATGTCAACCAGACCTACACAGGATGGTACTACAGAGAAGAAGCCACCCTAGCACCTAACTACCAGGGCTTCAAAACCTAGACCTCCTGGCACTATCTCTTTAACTCAAAGAGAGCTTAGTCTTTAGAAGTTCCTAAAAAGACTTTTACTTTCTGAGCCCCTTATGTAAAAGAGGATTGAGATCACTTGATGATTACTTGTGTTGAGTAGAATTATTCCATTTTGTGATTCTATGAGGAGACAGTCTTGTTCCTGAGTGAGTCATGTTTCAAGTTTTTCCTGTTAACATAGGATCTGCCTCTTTTCCAGAGGATTCAAAGGCAGTACTGTTTGTTTGCATGGCCAGCTGTGAGCCTGGCTTCTCAGCCCCAGCCTTTGTCCATCCTGCTGAGGTACAGACATGGCATGGGTTCTGGGTGATGTGAATCTATGTGATCTCTGACTTCAGGCCTTTGAGGAAGTGGTGGCCCTGCCACAGACCTCAGGCCCCAGCAGGAGGAAAAGCTAGCTCTAGAGAGCAAACAATTTTAACATCCTCAAAGATAAAGCTCTCTGAGTGGTGTTTTTTATGGGTTTTCACCTTCAAACTTGGTGAGGAAGAAGGGGAACATGGTGGAGAGAAGTCCAAAAAGGGAAAGAGATGTAGGAGAAAAAGAAATAGAGCATGAGTAGTAAGACAGAGAGAAGATACCCCGTAATGCTTAATGAAGAGCAGAAAAGCACAAAGATAGAGTAGCAATAGTGAGTCAGTGTCAGCCTGGACAACATGGCAAGATCCCATCTTTACAAAAATTTAAAAAATTAATTGGGTGTGATGGCACATGTTGGTAGTCCCAGCTACTCGGAGGCTGAGGTGGGAGCTCAGGGGCTTGAGGCTGCAGTGAGCAGTGATAGCAATGATCACATCACTGCACTCTAACCTGTGAGACTCTGTCTCTTAAAAAAAAGTGAGTGGGTTGGAGGGCTTTCATCTGTGTACACCTGCTTGTCTCACACACACAGCTCAGAATGCCAAGTTTTCAAAGCTGAAAAAGTCCCATAAAAGACCATCTGGTTCCAGCCTCTTATTTTATAGATGAGAGCCCTGAGGGCCAAAGAAATAAAAGATGCCCAGAATCATACATGCAGTCCTGTGTACCAGGACTGAGGGAGCTGCCTCTGGGACCAGGGCTGTCTGGGTGGAGGCCTGTTCTCTGTTTGTTCTCATCTGTGTTTCCAGCCTGGATTCAGCCCATCCTTGTCTAGGGAGTCATGACTGGGGACCTTCTGCCTTCTAATAATGCTGTTCTGCCAACTAACTGGAAGTCTCTCTTATTGCCTTGGCACAGGATATACTGCGGGGACACCATATAAGGTCCCACCGACCCAGAGTAATACTGCTCCGCCCCCCTACTCCCCATCACCCAACCCCTATCAGACGGCCATGTATCCAATCAGAAGTGCCTACCCCCAGCAGAATCTGTACGCCCAGGTAAGTGCATATGGTCCCATGTCTTTTGCTGGTGGAGGAACCCCCAGCTGGGAGGGAGTGTGGTGGAGTAAAGAAGAGAAAGAAGGAGAGGAGAGTGCATGGCTCTGGCCAGCCACCACTGTGTATCACTGAAGCAATATCTCTGCAGTCTGCTCACTCCCTCAACTCTACCTCAGTTCCCAGAGGAGGGAGGCACAAAGTCATTTAGAATAACAGTCCAGAATGTCAGGGGGCCAAGGGTCCATAGAGATCTCTAGCTCAACTTCTTTGTTAAACAAGCAGAGAAGCTGAGTCCCAAAAAGGGGAATGACTTGTCCAGGGTCACACAGAGAGGTATTGGTTGAATCAGGATGAAACTTCAGGTGTCTTGGTCTTCTCCCCCTGAACCCCACATTACCCTTCCTTGATAAAGTCCATGAGACTAGTAAGGAGAAAGTGCCCAGGTTCTGCCACTATTGTATGACCCTGGGCAATTTATTCTCTCTTTCTGTGCATAAAGGGGCCCCATCTGGGCTCCTTTAGTGGAGAATATAAGTACTCTGAGGCAACTGGTATGAGATGGGGACTATATGAGGCTCTGGTGCACCTGTGACACATTTCTTCTCGAGTGACAAGGACAACACTTTTTTAGCTTAAAACCCTGCTGTATTGCAGAGTAGGAGGTAAAACTTAAAAAAATAAAATGAGATTTGAGATCAGTTTTTCTCATTTTACTTCCACTGTGCTCTCAGACCACTGGGGTTACAAACCCACACTCTGAGGTTCTTTTTTTTTTTTTTTGAGACAGAGCCTCAAGCTGTCCCCCTGGGTAGAGTGCCGTGGCATTATAGCTCACAGCAACCTCCAACTCCTGGGCTCAAGCAAGTCTCCTGCCTCAGCCTCCCAAGTAGCTGGGACCACAGGCGCCCGCCACAACGCCTGGCTATTTTTTGGTTGCAGCCGTCATTGTTGTTTGGCGGGTCCGGGCTGGGGATTCAAACCCGCCACCTTAGGTGTACATAGCTGGCGCCTTAGCCGGTTGAGCTATAGGCACCAAGCCCACTCTGAGGTTCTTACCATTTAGTGGAAACATTTGAGGATTTCTGGATTGGGATGCTTTTAGGAATCCCTGTCTGCTCCCCTCTAGAAGTCAGCAGGCCTGTAGAAGTAGGAAGCAGCCATGTGATTCAGGCAGTGAGAAGTCACCTCAGACCACTGACTCCATCTTCACCTTTTTGCTTAAAGTGCTGTAGGTATTAAGAGACATCTTGGGAAATGCTATCCCAGTGCAACATTGTTTCAGTGTGTAAATGGCTGCATTTACACCAGTATAATAATGCCCCTAAGAATCCTTCAGTGTGTGTGCACAGTGCCTTAGAGTTCACCAGCTTAATTCACATGCTTAGTAACTGATTGAATGTAGTCCCTGCCTTTAAATTGTAGGCAGTTTTAGCCAGGCATGGTAGTTCACGCCTATAATCCTAGGACTCTAGGAGGTGAAGGTGGGAGGATTGCTTGAGGCCAGGAGTTCGAGACTAGCTTAAGCAACCAGTGAGACCCCATCTCTACAAAAACTAGAAAAAATTAGCTGGGCATGGTGGCACATGGCTGTAGTCCCAGTACTCAGGAGGCTGAAGTGGGAGGATTGATTTTGAGGCCAGGAGTTTGTGATAGGCTGTAGTGAGCTGCGCTGGTGCCAATGCACCGTAGGCAGAATGACAGAACGAGACTCTATCTCAAAAAAAAGTATAGGCAGGACATTTTATAAAAGTACATTGCAATAAAATATAAACATTTTAAATTGCTAAAGCTGGGATTAAGGGAGTAAAGTTCTTATCCTATTACATTGTCAGAGCAGTCTTAGAAGCAAGGCAGAACCAAGTGAAAAGCCTCATTTTTCAGATCAGAAAGCCAAGTCCAGCACTGAACTGACCATAGTCATGGTGTGAGACAGAAGCAGTATCTTACCTAGGACCCACACCTTGTGTCCCTGAGCTGATGCTTCTCTCACCCCATCCCTTAGGATCTGGGAAGAGCAGAGATTCCCCTTCCCTCTCCCTCTCTTCACATCCCACTTACCTCTCCAAAAGCCTGTGTGACCTTAGCCTCTTTCCTCCAGGGAGCCTACTACACACAGCCGGTGTATGCTGCTCAGCCCCATGTCATCCACCACACCACGGTTGTCCAGCCCAACAGCATTCCCTCCGCCATCTACCCAGCTCCTGTTGCTGCTCCCAGGACTAATGGCGTGGCCATGGGCATGGTGGCAGGCACCACCATGGCAATGTCCGCAGGTGAGGCAACATCTGCGTCAGCATCCATTCCTCTTCTCTAGGAGCTCATGGAGTGGAAAACACAGTCGTGGAATCAACTGCAGCATAGCATGAGAAATCCTGTGTTGGGGTTTTGGGAACTGAGAGGAAGGAGATAAATCTGTGTCCAGGGATGAGAGGAAGATTTCATCAAGAAGCGTATATTGAGCTGGGCCTGAAAGGGTGAACAGAGGCTAACCAGGAAAGTGAAAGAAGGAAGGGCAACACAGGCAGGAAGAGCTTGAGTATGACTTGTTCACAGAATGGAAAGGGTCCAAAGTTCTTAGGAAATAAGGGTAAGGAATCAGAGGGGTAGCTGGAGTGCTGGCAAAGATAAGATTGTGATAAGTCTTGAATAGGTTTGGTAATGAGACTCACAAAGGGGGCTAAATAGGGGAGGGATGTTGTTGGGTTTAAACATTCTCTGGCTGCAGGGTGGAGGCAGGATTAGAAGGAGAGAGCTGGAAGCAAGTAGGTCAATGAGGAGGCTGTCAGTGTTGTTTAAGGGAGAGATGATGATGCTAGGATTTCAGCAGCAGCAGGAGGCCCAGAAAAGAGGACACAGGGACAGTATTATTTAGCAGGCAAGAGCTTAAGGACTTGTCCAATAATTCACTATAAGGGATGAGAAAAGCCAGAGTCCCTGAGGACCCCTTCAACCTTTCTGGCTTATGCCAGAATTTAGGGAAGAGCAGATTTAAGGATGTCTTTGGATGAGTTGATGCCTAAAGGGAAATGTGGATATTCCAATGAAGAGCATGAGAAGACAAGAAGACTACAAATAACCTGTAGAGACCCAACTTTTAAAAAACTAGCTAGGTCATGGGGCAGCGCCTGTGGCTTAAAGGAGTAGGGCACCAGCCCCATATACTGGAGGTGGCGGGTTCAAACGCAGCCCTGGCCAAAAACTGCAAAAACAACAACAAAAAAACAAACTAGCTAGGTCACCCTCTGAGGAAAGACAGTGCAAGGGGTAGAATGGGCATTTTGATTTTATTCTGCCCCTAATGTAAGGGGCAGAGGCCTCTCAACTCCCCAGATTAAATCAGCAAGCTCTTGGATCTCTGCTCAGTGCCAGACTTCTTGTTCTGGTCCTGAGGACCAGATATCAGTAGATCAGACTAGAGGTCTGCCCTTAAGGAACACGCAGGTTATTGTGGGAAATACAGCCACAGATACCAACAATAACTACTCAGTACATCTAAAGTACGATAAGAGAAGCACACAGAGACAAGGAACAGGAGGCCTCCAAAGAAGAGTGATTGACTCTAGCTTCAAGCATCAGCAGAAGTTCCCCTAAGGAGGTGAAGTGTGACAAGTTGGAGAAGAGCAGACAGTGGTTTATCAGGCAGGCAAAGGAGATGGGGGTGCTCAGTTAGGGGGAGCAGCCATGTGAAAGCCTGTGGCTTTATCCTGTTCGTCCTGTGCCCTGGTGCAGCCTCGTCAGGTTTATTCTCCTCTCTCTGGATGTCCAGGTACACTGCTGACGACACCCCAGCACACTGCAATTGGGGCACACCCTGTCTCCATGCCAACATACAGGGCCCAAGGAACCCCTGCGTACAGCTACGTGCCCCCGCACTGGTAAAGCCTGCAGCCCATCCAAGTGAGTGGGGCCGGGATGAGTGATTGGGGTGGGGGATACACATAGGAACTGCCTCATAGCCCCTACTTGAGTCTGGAGTACAGGTGTGAGCAGGGGCAGGTGACAGTTTTCACTGTCAGTTGCTTTCCTGCTCCAAAGTCTGTAATATTCTTAACAATAGAACTTTACATATATTACCCTTTCAGCACTGTGAAATAAGAATCTCTATTTTTCAGATAAACACATACTTCAGCATTACTTAGCTAGTAAAAAGTAAGTGAATATTTAAGTTCCATTCCTCTAGTACTGAATGCTTGGTGCTAGAATGCAACTTCCACAGGCAAAAAATAAGCAGCTGCATTGGAAATGCACAGAGCGCTCCAGTTAGGGCTCCCAGGTTGGGGGGAAGGGTCTAGAAGCCTCCTCAAGTGGCTTCTGGAATATCTCTGTCACTAATGGCTATCCCTTTCCCCCCTCCAGATCTGGAGTCACACATTGTATGCAACTACTCAAGTCTTACACCGGTGCTGGAGCAGTTCCCTAGCAGCACCGCCTCTATTTGCAAGAAAAGACAACAGAAGTGCAAGGGTCACTTTATGCATCTTTAATGGTTTTGGTTTTTATTTTTGGTTTTTGTAAAAGCTGCTTTTTCTAATCTCCTGCCTCTCTCCCACTGTACCCCTCTTAGCCACTGCCCTTCTCAGTCTATTCCCTCCTCCTGCCTGACCAGGCCACGTCCTCTCTGCTCTTCTTTTCCTCCCTAAGCATCCTGTCCCCAGGGATCCCAGTCTAGTGGCAAGCAGAGAGTGGGGTTTATTGCAGTGGTTCAGCTGAAGTCTCAGTTTCGTGTGAAGAACATAAGGAGATGTGGTCCTCGGGTCTAGGATAGGAACTCAAGAGCTGTTGAGCAGGCCACATCTCTGGGGACTTGTTCTTTTTTGTTGTTTGTTTGTTTTTTCTTAAGAAAGATTTATTCAGGACATTACTATGTCCTGACACAAATGAAATGTCTTCTGAAAACCATCGCAAAAGACCAAGAACAAAACCACCTGTTTATGTAGGAGTGATATTAGCAGCTTAATACCCCAGGCTGAGAACCTGGGGAAATCAGAGTTTTTCTTTAGGGGAATTTAGGGGAGGGTGGAAGGGAGGGAGGGCACTGTTGGGAAGGAGAGGGAAGAAGGGGAGAGGTGCTTCCCTGATAGCTTTGGTTTGAAATAAGGTCTATGGCCAAATTGTCTGGGCCTAGACCTTCCGATTTGCACAGTGGTGTTAACTGACCTGGGACTTCCTAAAAAGGTGATTTTGGTCTCAGACCTGCCAAGTAGCTGCAGGGTGGTGAGATCCCAGCATTCTGAGGCATTGGAAGGCCAGGTTCCCTGTGTAATTTGGACCTTGGCCTCTGAACTATCATGAACCCACTCTGATGAGGAGCTTTCTCCTGATTAGAGTGGGAACCTAGGGCATTTCTCTCCCTTTCCCTTCTACCCTTCCCAGTGCCAAGGCTCACCCGTCTGTCTGTAGGGCTGGCAGGCAGGCCAAGCTCTTGGTTACCTTGTGCCACTCTGGCCAAAGTGAAGAAACCACATTCCAGGTGAGTGCAGGAGGCTCTGAAGGTCAGGATAGTGAAGGAAAAGTAATAGCAATAAACATTTCATAGACTCATGGAACTGAAGGGACCTTAGCAATCATCTCATCCATTCCCCCATTTGACAGAGGAAACTGAGGCCCAGAGAAGAGGAAAGGACTTCCCCAGACCTCACAGTAAATTAGCATTAAATGCAGCCTTCCTACCTAGTGGCATGTTGCCTATAAAAATTTACCTAGGGATGGATTGGTTTGGTTTTGTAAAAATTAAGTCAACAGCGCCCACACCTGGTGAGGTCTGGAACATCTCTGGGCTCTTGTTTCTGCTCTATTCCTCCATGGACTCCAAAGGCAGGGGTTGAAGACTGGGCAGAGGCCACATGTGGGCAGATGGCAGGAACAGAAATTACAAATGAAGAAATAGCATTTGGAAATTCTGTGAAGACATCTGGAACTTTCGTCCTGTGCTTGACTTCACTTCTAGGAAAAGGAGCAGGTGGGGCTGGCCAAAAAAGGAGAGGCCATGCTTTTAGGACAGTATCCCCTCATCTTGAGAGGAGAGGAAGAGAAGGAAGAGAGTGGGAGTCGCCAGGAGAGGAGGACAAGGATGAGGCCCAGGAGACATAGGCTCATCTGGGAGAAGAGGGACCCCTGGGACAAGGAGGCCCCTGCTAGTCTCAGCAAGGAGCCTGGATTGCCCAACACCACCCTCCTGCACCCAATACCTGGCTGGGCCAGCAGCCCCTCTGGGCATAGGGCAGGAATATTTTATTGTACAAAATGAGATCATTGACAACATTTGGGACTTTTAAATAACTATTTTCATTTTAAATTCATGCAAACTTGGACACACCCTTCCCTCTGCCTCCCATGTCTCCCTAAAGGAGAAAAAAAAAAAATCAGGAAGCCCTTGGCTGGAAGGACCTCAGAAGCTCTCTAGCTGTTCCGGGAGGGCAAAGCACATCAGCATCCTTGTCCCAGAGCCAGGAGTTTGGGAGCTCACCTTCCTGGGCTTTCAGGAAACTTCAGGACCAGTAAGAAAAAATCCAGCTGTTCTAACTCATCTGTTCTGGGGTGCTGATGAAGTTGCATTTTAAAACCACAAAGTTTTCCAGTATTAATCCATTTTTTTGCAAATACCTCCTCCTACCCTCTTTGGTTTTGTAAAGGTGGGTGAAGGTTGTTCTAGATCATGTTGTATGTGTTTGAAAAATGCCAAAATAATAATAATGATAATAATAATAATAGGAAACTTTGCATTTGTCAGGTGTGTCATAGATTTCAAAGCACTTCACAGCATTTAATTTATAGGCCCTGAGTTACAGGGTTAGGGTTACTACATATTACACCCAGTTGACAAATGAGGAAACAGGTTATAGAAGGAAAGGGAACAGGCCCCCAGTGAGCAGAATGCTGGTGTCCTGAAAGGCTTCCTGGGATCCTGCTGCCTCCAAATGGGCTGGGGTGGAATCACAGAGAGGAAGAAAGAAAAGGAAGAGACCTAGGAATGACCTGGTACCTTTCATTCTTTCTACACCAGTAAGTAAAACTAACATTTGGGCCCATAGTTCACAGAGCAATGTAAAATAGATCATCTGTTTAACCCTATAAAACAGAGATTATAAAAAAAAACAAAAACAGAGATTATTCCTCTCATTTGATCCATGAAGAATCCAAGGCTTAGAAAAGTGACTTGCTACTAGTAAGTGACAGAGCTACTTGAATCCCATGCTGTCAACTTTCTCTTTTCCCTTCAGTCTGATGCCCACACAGGCTTGTGTACTGAGGCATTTGTACTCTGCCTGTCTTAGCCCCTACTATTTAATTCAAGAGCAAACGAGGTTCTCAAGGTGAAAATAAGGCACTGAAAGGCTGTGGTCTGGAAGAGGCCAGGCCCAGCACCCCCTTTTCAATATGAGCACCAGAGCCTCAGTTCAGCTGGCCTCACCCTCTTGCTTTGATGGAGATCCACAAGCCTGGCCAAGCTTGGTGAGTCACTGCAAAGGGACTGAGCCCAGGAGACCAGGGGTAGTCAGGTGCCTTTTAGTAAAATCACAGGCATCTGGTGGGAGATACCATAGGTATCCTCCAGAGTTCTGGATGACCCAGTGGTCAAGCTGGATGGAAAATCAGCTCTGGAAGGGCCCTCTCACTGTAGGAAGACACATAAGCCAGAGTGGACAAGGGATATGTCTATGTGATATAGTGAGCTATAGCACTGGGACCAGCATGCAAGCCCCTATCTCCTACCCACCCTCTCCCCAGGTGCAACACGGTGGTGGTCAGGGTCAGGAGTACAGGTAGTTCTAGTCACCAGCCAACCCTCCTGGCTTTTCCCACTTCTACCTGACTCCCTCTCCTCACCAGCCTGGGACCTAAGAATTTTGAATCTAGAGGCTAGATTGCCCCCAGATAGTGAAAGCCTGAAATAAAATCTTTTGCCACATTTTGAGAAATATATATATTTAATTTCTTCCCCATGAGAAAAAACGGTTGTTGTTCCCTCTCTTTCTTACCTGGCAGTGACCCCAAAGTAAATATCCCATTCCCTCAATATTTAGCAGGGGCACACACACCTGCCCAAAGCAAGGTACTTTGACATGGATTGCCAAAATCCAAATTTCACAGATGTAAAACCAGACTCAGAAGGCTTAAGAAACTTGGTCAATGGTCACACAGCTAATTAGGCAAAGAGCCAAATTTGAACTCTCCAAGTCTGCTCTTTCTCCTGCCACCTGTTGGGTTTCTGAGTGGCAAGCATTAAAGGAGGGCTGCCTGTCTCTCTCCAAACAAAAGAAAACTCTGTAAAGACCTGGAAAGCTCAGTCCTCTGAGCTGAGCAGAATTATATGAACTATTGCTTTGGACCAGGGCCTCTGATGGGCCCTGTGGACCCAGAGGCAAGTCCCACTGGAGGCACATGGAAAATGAAAATTTGCAACAAAAGGCCCAACTTGAACAAAACACTGGGGTTAGGATGCCCAGGATGCTCAGGACATGACCAGGGACAGCACCAGGCATCTTTCTATTGAAAGACTCATGTTCCTAAAACAAACAAACAAAAAGAAAAAGACCCATGTTCTTGGGAAGCCTGCACATCCTGGCTTTCTGACTCTTGAGAGTGCCCATTGCCCAGTGAGTTGGCACTTTACAGGAACCTGGCATAGCCCCAAAAGGCCATAAGCATATGAATTGAAGGCCTGGGGCTTATTCTTCCCATGAGTTAAAACCAGGACTTAGGGAAACGCTTAGCATGTAGGCTTCACGCATACTAATCCTTACCCTTGGCCACCTGAATTGTTCCAAATTTGAGGTATCTCACTCCCAGAGATCTGGTATACTCATTTGAAGGTCTTGCTTTGTTCTGAACCAAATGGCTTTCAGAAATAAATAATTAAGAACAAAAAAACCCCTTGGTCAGTGGGTTCTAGCATCTTCATTGTGCAGACAGTACTCATCCAGGAGTCCACTGAGGCATTGCATATCAAATTTCTTGGTTCTGCTCTGTGGCCAGAGGAGATAGACCCTGCTCTGGGCCCTGTGATCTCCATCACAGCATTGGATCAGTCATTCGTATATCACCATGGCATTCCTCCTCCATTGCACTTGAGTGAAAATACACAGAAGCTCTGCTTTCCCATCCTACTGCTTGCCAAGCTTGAGGATCAGGAGAGGGGCATGCTGAGCAGTGGCGTGGGCAAGTGGGAAGCAGGCTTCATGCCAGTGTGCACACCTGAGCCTCTCTGGGAGCTGCATGCAGGTTTGTCCTACTTGTCCAAGTACCTCTCTCCTAGAAAACTCCTCATTTCTGAACTTAGGCTTTAAGGGCCCAGCCTTCAAAATTCCTGACAGGCCAACTTCAACATTCCAGGGCCAACCTTGTTTTGAGCCAGACTTAGGTCCCAATTCCTCAGTTTCTTCAGTGGGTATTTTCTATCTTGCATGCCTTTGAGTGCAACCCAAAGGCCAACTGCAGAACCCAAGAGTTAGGAGTGGCTGCCACAAAGCCAGAGAGGGACATGACAGCATTTGCTTCCCTATAGCTACATCAGTAGTCCCTCAATATCCTTACTATGGCAGTGAGCCCCTGTGCCCATTTTGTCCTGATAGAGGGAGGATTTTCCTTCTGCAAGAGAATTGATATAACAGCTTTGCAGATAAATACCAGCCCACAGGAATCAACTGGGTGAAATCAGCTTTGGGCCTGACCCCAGCAAGACCAGCATCTCCAGGCTCCAGCCTTCCTCCTCAGGCCTAAGAGAGTCAGGGAAAGAGTGGGACTGGCCAGAAGCCTTCTCCTGGGGTCAGCCAGATTGTCTGCATGTGGTGTGACTCAAGCTCCTGGTTACCCAAGGGTAGGTAAGACTAGGCCTCTAGCAACTTGGAATTGTCTGTAATAATCATTAAAGGCCCAAGGGCCTATCCCTATTCTGACTTCAAGGCATCTGCATCCCTGTTTCATATCACATGACAGAGAAACCTGTTTTCATAGCATGTAACATCCCTGTGAAGAAAGCGTTGTATATGATTTTGTATTTTTTAATTCATTTTAATCTACAGGTTGGAATCTAATTTTTAAATTTTATTGGAACTCACATTTTAAAAAGAAATAAACATTTAAAATAATAATAATAACAATAATAAACCTTTGACCGGTGTCTTCCAAGTAGTTTGATCAAAGAATTTATAGGTGTTTCCAAAACACAGCCTGAAGTGTAAAGACTGGAAAGCCCCATGGCCTTGCTTGTGTGTATGAAGTGTCAATCTGATTTTGTTTTGTTGTTTTGGATTCTTTTGGGTTTTTGTTTCGTTTTGTTTGGAAGATCAGACAGTGATCATTCTGAAAGACTGCAGCCAAGAATTTGTAACTATGATATTTACTGTAAGCTGTAGAACATTGAATAACTATTAAAAAAAAAAAAAGTTTCCCCCCCCCCAAAAAAAAAAGTCCAGGTGACTAGATTGAGTGGTTTTTGGGGAAAGGAACAGAAAACCAGACCCTGGGCCAGTGAGTACCCTGGGGTTCTCCCCAAGTTAATTCAAGTCAGGAAAAACCTGTCCTGCATCTCATAGCAGACACAGCATGGGCCTGACCTCAGGGTCTCTCAGTTGATGGAGAGCTATGAAGTGGCAGCTTTAGCACCTGGACTCATGATATGAAGCCCAGTGAGGCCATGAAGAGCTGACATCTATTGAGAGCCTACTATGTGGCTGGCACACTGGCTCACTCATTAATTCATATAATCCTCACAGCTTGATATGAGGCATACTCTATTGTTAGCCCCATTTTAGCCAGGAGGCATCTGAGGAGGTTGACAGCTGACATCTATTGAGAGCCTACTATGTGGCTAGCACACTGGCTCACTCATTAATTCATATAATCCTCACAGCTTGATATGAGGCATACTCTATTGTTAGCCCCATCTTAGCCAGGGGGCATCTCTGGAGGTTAAGCATCTTGGCCAAGGGTATAGAACTGGTGAGGGGCAGAGCTGGAACTCACCCTTGGTCTGGCTCCATGGTCCAGGCAAATAATCTCCATGTTCTGTTCATCTCACAGGAAGCAAGGCCTGAGCTTTTTTAAAGGATGGATTTATCAGAAATCAAGGGGGACAATTGAGGGAGGCTATGCGGTCTCCATCCAAACCATCAGGTGTTGTCAGTTTTACATCTGAAACATCTGAATCTCTTGTCTCCCCTCTAGGCAAAACTACTTGCCCTAGTCCAGGCACAGGCTTCTTTCCTGCCTTATCTGCCTACCATTCATTCCCTCCTGGGTCGTGGCCCCTATAGTCCATGCTCCCATATGCTCACAGCCACACGTCCGGAATTCAGCCTCTTCAACTGGAGAGAAAACACACCAAAAGTGGCCAAGTAACTTGGCTCACACTGCAGCTGGAAATAAAACTCAGGACTTCTTACTCTCAGCGCTTCCCACCAAACCTCACCTGGTGCCTCTGCCTAGCCTTCCCTCCCATCCTTGACCCAAACCCAACATGGAACCCATCCACTGGGGGAGGAGAGGGTACCTTTGGCCACAGGAATAGCAAGTTTTTCTGATGCAAGAAGGGATTCTCCCAGAGGCTTCAGGTCACTGGCAGGGCTCAAGGCCAAGAACACGTTGGGTGGAAACTTGAGCCCACCCCACCATTCTGGCCCATGGGGGTGGAAAGTGAGTGGAGTGAGAGGGTAAGCTTAGGATACCCCCCCACAAAACACCACCCTGACCCCCAGCTCCCATTTCTGCCAGTGGCCTGCACCTATCTTGAACTATAGGAGCTTGCAGGATGAGCTAGGAAAGCTTCTTGGTGAGAATGAGAGCCCTTAAGACCAAGGGCATCAAGACACATCCCTAGGTGATCCCTCAGCTCTTCATCCCACTCTTTGGAGCCAGCCTCAATACTCCAAAGGACAAGAGAAGAAACTGAAACCAGGGCCAAAACTTTCTCCTACCTTTATGCAAGCAGAAAATGAGGAAGAAGGGTCTAGAGAGGCAGTGTTTACTGTGATGGGGATGTTCACACCTGGCCTGAGAAGCCTGACTAGCCTCAGTCTCCACCCTAAGTATATATACATCTACATACATATATGTACTTCTCCCAGGCTGAGTGAGTAGGTTGGAGAGAGGGTACCTAGAGACCATAGGCCAGTGTTCCCTGGGGGAGGAGGCTGAGGCCCAAGAGTAGGTGGGTTCTGGTACACCCCACACATGGGTAATATGCCCTCCAAGTCCTGGGAGAAGTGGGTTGCTTGGCTGAGGGTCAGCCTAGTTGGGGAAGCCAAACCATCTCCCCGAGATGCAGCTGACCAGGTGGCAAATGGGGGCCCCAAGTGCACTTGACAGTCCCAAGGACCAGTTCCTTCTTTGGGTGTACTGGTGATGCCAGTCAGCCCCTTACATCAGACACCCTGCCCTAGACTTTAAACCTTTGCTGATCCAGAAAATTCCTTCTGAAGTCCAGCCTCCCAATCTCCTTCCTCTCACCTAGTGCAGCAAAACCTTGTTTCCCTTTGTCCTCACAGGTGTCCCTATTCTTTTCCTGGCCACCTGCGAAACCCCAGAAAGAGAAATCTGTGCCCCAGGTACCTAGGGAGAAACTGAGAGGTTGAATCCCAAAGTATACCTGCCCAGCCTCTGCCCAGAGCAGGAATTTTCTCTGTAGCTGACCTCCACCATGGCTTCTGCTCAGGAAAAAAGCCCCTACCCTCTGAAGCCAGGCCTCCTGTACCCCCAGCATGGCTGCCCCTTCTTCACACCTCTCCAGGTTTTATGAAGGGTCAAATTATAGTTCTTCATCCTCTCTGAGAAGGCCATTAGCATTTAAATGTGTCCCCTTCTTCCATATTTAAGCAATATACTAAACTAATAAAACCCCAATTTAAAAATTAGTCCATCCCCAGAGCCTAAGGCCCCACCAGCCATGGCCTGGCACAGTCAGGCTTCTGTAGGGAACGGTCCACTTGGACCTTGCCCTGCTCTCACCACTCCCTTGGGATGACCCCCGAGAAGTCCCTGTGTCCATTCATGAGGGCAGGCAGCACTTGGCCTTGCAGCACACTCTGCTTCCACACCCACCATTCTGGTGGCAAGGACACTGTCTTTTGGTTTTCTTCCCACCTCCTTGGCAGTAGTTTCTTTGCCATGCCCTGGAGCAGTCCATGATCTGCCCTGGGCCCTTCCCCCAGGATGCGTACTCTCCAGGTCCAGTGGAGAGTCCACCTGAGTGCTTGTAGAAGTTCTTGTCATCTAGGTCCACTTTCTGAGAGCTCTAGGCCTTCACACCCAGATGTCTCAGGACATCCCTAAGGGTTTGTGTCACAGGTGCCCCAGGAGCTCCTGTTGCTCCACCAGCTGCCCTAATCTTTGACTCACATTCCTTTATCAATGCAGTGCCTGCCAGTTCTGCCCTAGGAATCCCTTGGACCCATCTGTCTTAACACCTCTTTCCTGGATGGTTGCAACAGCTTGCCCAGGGTGCCTCTGCTCCTGTTGCTCCTCTACTCTCCACACTGGCCAAGAAGGAGCTGATGAAGGATTGGAGGCTCCAGGGCAGGCATCCTTGGCATGAGGCCCACGTGTCCACTCTGCAGCTCCTCCTGTGTGTGGGTGCCTGGCCTTTGCATGTGCCATTCCCTCTCCATAAAACACATTCCCTCCTCCTGCACTGTCCAGCCCTTCTGTTCTCCTTACTGCCACTTCCTCTAGTGTTGCACTATCCAGTGCAACAGCCACCAGCCACATGTGACTGTTGAGCCCTTGAAATATGCTGTTCATATTGAGATGTGTAAAACACACACTAGATTTCAAAGCAAAGAAAAAGAGCTAATTCGTAATTTTTTTTTTGAGACAAAATCTTGCTATATTGCCCTCAGTAGAGTGCCGTGGCATCACAGCTCACAGCAACCTCAAACTCTTGGGCTTAAGCAATTCTCTTGCCTCAACCTCCCGAGTAGCTGGGACCACAGGTGCCCACCACAATGCCCAGCTATTTTTTGGTTGCAGCTGTCATTGGTGTTTAGCAGGCCGGGCCAGGCTCAAACCCATCAGCCTTGGTGTATGTGGCCAGTACCCTACTCACTGAGCTACGGGCACTGAACCTAATTCATAATTTTTATATTGATTTTACACCGGAATGAAAATACTTTGAATATACTGGGTTCAAAAATATTAAATTAAGTTCACCTGTTTTTACTTTTTGAAATGTGGTTATTAGACAATTTTAAATCATATAGGTGGCTCACGCTCGATTTCTACTTGACAGCCCTAACCCTAGGCCAGTGTTTTTCAACCTTTATCTCACAGCACACTTGAACCCACAGTTAAATTTCTATGGCATAAATAGAGTGACCAGATTTTTTTTTTTTTTTTTTGAGACAGAGCCTCAAGCTATCCCCCTGGGTAGAGTGCCATGGCATCACAGCTCACAGTAACCTCCCACTCCTGGGCTCAAGCGAGTCTCTTGCCTCAGTCTCCCAAGTAGCTGGAACTATAGGCGCCCGCCACAATACCCGGCCATTTTTTTGGTTGCAGCCATCATTGTTGTTTGGCGGGCCCGGATTGGGGATTCGAACCCGCCACCTTAGGTGTATGTGGCTGGCGCCTTAGCTCCTTAAGCCACAGGCACCGAGCTGGGTGACCAGATTTTAACATCAGTAAGGTGGGACAACATGGGGGGGCGGGGGGACAGGGCAGGGCAGGGCCTGACAACAACGCAAACTTTGATAAGCAGTTCTTGATAATCACTTCTCAGCAATTATTTGGTTATTACAGTTTAACATTATAAAATTAACAAAAATAATATAAAACTCATATTCTGGTGAAATAGCCACATGGCAGCCGAAGTATATTCCCTTCCTGTTCTCCCGCCCGTTTGTGCATTCTTTCCAAAAATCGGGACTTTATAAAAATGCCGCGGGACACAGGACATTGTTCAAAAGCAGGACGTCTGGTCACCCTAGGCATAAATTATGTTGATTAAAAAAAAGTACAAAAAGGAATATACTTAAGGTCTTTTGAAAATAATTTAATTAATGATCTAAAATCCTCTCTGCCATGGTACACCAGTTGAAAATCACTGCCCTAGGGGCTTCAGTGGGAACCAGAGGAAGTGAAAGGCCTCTTGGGCCCTGCTTTCCTACCTCTGAGGAGGAGGTCCTGGAGGGGAGGGGCAGCCTGCCCAACCTGGAATAGGGCCTGAGGTATGTGCTGAACAGACAGATGGCCTGGGAGAGGGGCACAGAGAAAGTAAGCTCCTCAAGACAGCAGTTTCCCACCTTTTATTACTCAACAAACGGATGGGGATGGAACTGCAAAGATAGGACGACAGCAAGTTTCAATAAATAAGAGAAACGGGCAGGTGGCGGGCCATGCCTGCACAGCCCCACATAAATAACCAAGTTGCTGAGCTGGAGTGGTGGGTGGAGCTGGCTTGGCAGTCGCCCTCGCTGCCCAGACACACTGGCACCACAGGGACACAGAAGCCACTAAGGCCAGAGGCACTCTCCAGCTGGCCCATGCTCCTCTCCCCAAAGCTCCCAAGATCTTGCAGATGGCTAGGCAGACTGCGGCTCTGTGCCACAGCCCTGCCCAGGTCGTCTGTTTTGTCAATTTAATTAAAAACAGCAAAGTAGGGGGCAGGCACATGCATGAAGCCCCTTCTGTAGGCAGAGCCATGGATGGACAGCCCCTGGGGGCCTTGAAGGCAGAGGCCCTGGAAGCAGCAACAGGGGGGCCAGATAAAGCTACTAATGGGGGTGGTGACAAGAGTCCAGCTCCCTCACCCTCCACTACCCAGCCCAGAACCTGCAAGGAGCTTGAGAGGCCCTAGGTACTGAGATGTCATCTTCTCCCATTTCACAGTCAGAAAAACTAGGACCCAGCGATGGGCCCAAAGTTAGAACCCAGGAACTCAGCTTCCCAGCCCAGGGCTTTTTGTTGCCCTTTCCCTTTACAGGACCTGCCAGAAGAGGAGTAGGAGGCACATTTGCTCTAGGGCCCTGTACAGGGGCAGGGGGTCAAGGGTACCAGGCACATGCCCCTTACTCCCACCAAACCTAGCCCCTTGGTGATACAGAGAATCCTGTGGGCTCCTAGGATCCACCAAGTGCAGGCACAGGGGACTGGAGGGGGGATGCCAGGGATATCCTGCAAAAAGCCGGGACAGCAGGGACAGGGGCGGGGCTTTTGATCTCCTACACACAGTGTGGCCACCTGCCTTGCCTCCTCACTGGGGCGGATGATCCACCTCCAGGATGTGGCCTTTGCTGTTGTCTCCGGGCCATTGCATCTTGATCCTTATAGTCCCAGCTGCAGCTCTACCTCCTCCAGGAAGCCTTCAGAACCGCCTAGGGTACGGCTACAGTGTCCTCAGACTGGGTAGTCCCTCAGATGACCAGGTTGCTCTCACTTAGCCGGACTACATAGCGATTCTCCTGAGGAGAGGGGTGAAGGGTCAGATCTGAGTCAAGGGCTAGTTTTGGAGCTCTGGAAGAGTGATCCCTGCCTAGGGCCATTTGTACTTCTACCCCTCCCCTAACTTTAGTCAGGGTTGGCCTTGGTGCCAACAGATACTTCCCCCTGCCCCTTACCTCAGCCTTCTCTGCTTGTGGCTTCAGCCATTTATTATGGCTTCCACCACTTCCTAGCAGTGTCCGCTGTTCAGGGGATAGGCCAGGTTGTGGGGAGTCAGGGAGATCACCCTCTGAGGGCCCAGCCTCTGCGATGGTCTTCACCTCAGACACCACTGAACTTGCCCGCTGCTCAGGAATTCGAGCCACACGGAACCTGTGAAGATGAGGTACAATCATTATCATTAGAGAGGCAGCCTTGGGTGTAGAGAGGACAGTACCTGCCAGGATCACAGGGCAAGTTCATGGATTAAAACCTGAGCCTATTGATGCCCAAGCTCTTCCTAGCTCCCACCTATAGACAAGGGCTTTGCTCTGCTGCTACTTGTACCCAGCCCCCATCCGCCCCAGTTCTAGGCTGCAAGTAGATATGCCTTTGGCCTGAGGGGCCCCAGGGGGGCCAAGACCCTGCTGTGGGGAGCCAAGACACAGCATTGCTGGGAAGTTCTGGCTTCCTTCTGGCCAACCCAATAAGGATGAGACCACCACCAAGCAGGGTGCCCTGCCTCTGCATCACCCCCACCCATCAGGCTATCTCCCCGACCTTATCTGTGCCCACTTCACCTGCCCACAGACAAGATGGTGATCTCGCCCTGGCGTCCTGCCTTGGGCCCAGCCTTCAGAGCCCTGGCTGGGTTGGGCAGGAGGCTGGGCGCAGGAGTAGCGGCAGCTGCGGCCTCAGGGGACAGCAGCACCTCAGGCCACTTCTTCTGGCTACAACGGGAGCAGCAGGGGCCAGAGAGTGAGGCCAGGCCCTGCACGGTGTGGAGGTGGTGGCGATGTGGGCAGATGTGCGGCATGCTAGGAGGTACTGGTGGCAGCCTGCAGGAGGGCACAGATGGGAGCAGTCAGGAGGGCAGGCCAGGGTCAGGAGACCCCAGCAGCAGGTAGAGAGGCCTGGGGTGACATGAAGAGGGACAGCCCCAAGTGGTGAGCCCAGAAGGCAGGCTGATTATCTGTAGGTTCTGGCTTCTCCTCTCCCACGTGCCCACTCACCTGGGCACAGGCCTGTGGCTCGTCTGCACCAGCTGCTTGCTGTGGTACTCTTTCAGCAGCTCCTCCAGGGCTGCAGCATTCTCTGTGGGCAGCTGCAGTCAGAACCAGCTCTGGCCACATGGGGCAGCCTTCCCACACCCTGACCCGGCCAAGAACCTGCTACCTACCCACCACTCTTCCCTAGCCTGGCCTGTGCTTTCCCCTCCCCTATTCATCAGGCAAGAACAAGAGGCCAAGGGGCAGGACTACTGGGCCAGAGAATGCCAGGCGGGACCAAGGCATCCCAGGGCTGGGACAGAGCAAGGCAGGACTCTGACCCCCTGCAGCTGCCTCCCAGGCTCTTGGAGGAGGCTCTCCTGGGCACTGGGATAAGGTCAGAGCCCCTCCTCACCTTTCTTCTCTGTTATCAGGCGCACTAGGACCCCAATGGTATCCTCGTTAGCATCCTCAGCCCGGTAGGCAGGGTTGATTCCTGGGGAAGAGAAGGCCCATGATCTTATAGAAGCGGGGGGAACTCCAGCTCCCAAGCTTACCCAGGGTCTGCCAGCAGAGGGCGCCCCTGGCCTTCCTAAAGAGTCACAGCAGCACCCAGTACATGTGTGCATGCGTGTGTGTGTATGTGTTTGGGTGACACAAGTCTCATAGAGCCCTGCACTTGCGGGACTCTAGGCTCAGATAAGGCCTATCATCACCTTTATTATTCAACATCACTATTTCCTGCACCCAGAAGTCCCAGATGCTTACAGCCATCTGCACTCCACAGTCCCTGCAGAGTCTATGTATGTGTGTATGTGTTGGGAGATGGGAGGTCAGTCTCTTTTAGGCCTGTGCTGTCCCCTTCTCAGCTACACAGATCTGTGGGTCACCTCTCTGCCCAGGACTCCCAACATCTGCGGTGAACTCTGCCATTCTAGGTCTATCACTTTCTTGCATACCACCCTGTCTAAGTAACTATTTAAGTGAAGGCCACTGGTCAGCTTTCGTTCTGAACCTCAGTGGTGTGAGAATGGACCACCATGATAAATCCTGTGACCAATGCCAAACAAACCACACAGAACTAGGCAGCAGCCAGCAGTTAAAAGAAGTCATAAGGCTAGGGAAACAAGTGCAGGCCCAGGCAAAATGGCCCTGAGTTGCCATATTCCTTCCTGCCTGTCTAAAGCTCCTATCCCTCTCTGGCCTCCTCCAGACTCCAATGTCAGGAGTTGGAAGGGGCTCTGGTCAGCTGAGGCAGCTTGGAGCACTGGCATGGGAGGTGCCATTTTACTCTTGACTTGGCCCAAGGAAGAGTATGTGCATGTGAGGTCCCCTGCCCTTCAGGTGACAGTGGTGGCTGGAAAACAAGAAAAGGGGCCCAGGGCCTTGGGCTCAAGGTGGTAGAACATGCCTCTCCTTCTGGTTCCAGGACTAGTAACTCAAACCACAACCTGGAACTGAAACCCAAGCCCCTGATGGTGCCTGCCCAGGACAGCTGCCCTGCTAGCCCTCCTGACTCAGAGCATTCATTCCTCTCTTACTCCAGGCCAGAGGTCACAGGTCACCTCGAGTGTCTCAAAGGCTGTCTAATCCTTGAACCACATACACAACTATGGCTCTAACAAGTACAGAAGTTATAGGTTGGCGGGGCCTCACCCAGGGTAGGAATCCTGCTGAAGCCACCTGACCGGCTGTCCTGTCTCTGTTTTGCCCCCATTGCCACACCTTGCCCCTCACCCTTCCTCCCACTCTGTCTGCAGCTGTCACCTCCTTACTAGCTCTTGAAGGGCTCTCTCTGTCAGATCCTTTGTCCTCCCCACCTGGACCCTAGCCAGGCCTCACCGCTGCCTCCACCTCCCGGGCCGGGCCCGACCTCCTTGTGAGCTGTGCAGTGGTAGCCCTTCCGCTTGAGGAGGTTGCACACCAGGATGCCCAGCAGCCCCATGAGGCAGAAGACAGGCACGATGGCAATAACCGCATACTGTGCAGCCGTCTCCTCATGGCTTCCCGCCCGTGTGCCGTTCCCAGGCTGCCGTGTCTCACCACCGCCACTGGCCCCTGCAGCCACCTCCACACCACGTCGGGCCCGCCGCTCCCATCCTGAGCATCATGGAATATGGAGGCAAGACAGAAGCAGAGAGAATGGAGACAGAGAGAAGCAGAGGCCCAGGACCCCAGTTAGTGTGGAATGGGGAGGAACTGATGTGTCCTAGAAAGCTCACTCTCTGCCATAATGGAGAAGCAAAGGCCAACTCACTCTCCAGATTTTCCCTTTTGGGCATCAGTCATCCTGAATAAGGCTGCCTCAGGCCTCAGGACATACAGACCCTCAGCCCCATCATCCCCTCATGCTGAGGTCAGAGGGGTGAACAGATGGCACATGTGGCACATGCGTGGGTACAAGGACACAGGATCCTACCACTCCCGTGGCCTGGAGCATGAATTAGTTGCCCCAGAAGCTGACTAGCTCTGCAGTGAGAGGAGGTGAGCATATGTGCACAAGCGCACACTTGTGCTTGTCCACATGGGTCTCTTGGAGTGGATAGGGACAGGAGATTAGTCAGGAAGTGAGTCCCCCAGTGCTTCCCCCCACTGTGGCTGTCACCTGCTGGATGGTCTCTGCCACTCAGAAGACAGATGGGCAGACACAGACAGTGGAACAATCGACTTGTCCTACTGGACACCCTTTGGCTACATACTCTCCCCCAGGTTGGGAGAAGGACCCTAATGCCCCCACAAAGACACTGTAGCAGCTCCTAGACTCAAGCTCACTGGCCCCTTCCCACACTACCACCAGTCCTAGCCACCGTCTGCTACTCACCATCACAGCCACGAATACCAAGAGGTGCCCAAGAACATGGTTGACATGGAACTCGGGTGACCCTCCAAGGCCCAAACCACCTGCAGGGAAGGAAGACATCAGTGAGGGCTAGAAGTTTCCCCCAAAAAGTATTCCTCAGAGAGACTGGATTCCTTCCCACCAGGACCCCTCATTTGTCCTGCCCATTTCACAGATGGAAAAACTAAGGCCCGGTTGGGATAAAGCTAGGACCCTAGCATCCAGAGTCCTGATCACCTAGCCATGAGCCCACACTCCCCAGCCCCATGGCTTACCCTGGCTGGCAGCCTCCACACACTGTATCTTGAGTTGCTGTGCCCACCTGGGCCTCCAGCCTCCTTCGAAGGCTACAGCGGGCATGGGGCTGACATGGACTGGAGCCCCATGAAGCTGAGAAGGTGCCTAGGGGGCAGGACCTGCATAATGTGCCCTGCCCCAGGTCCTGTGGGAGGTGAAGGGTGAGAAAAAATGCCAGGAGCTAAGCCTGAGGTCCCTGGGGAAGCCAGACTCCCAGAACATGGCAGATGGGACAGGGCAACACGCACCAGGTTGGGTTCCTCCCCGGGTGGGCACTGCCAAGGGGTCGTTGATGTTGGAGTGGCCAGAGACCAGGGCAGCAGCTGAAAAAACAGCAAGCAGGAGCATGGTGAAACAGGCAGAAAGTGCTGGGCATGCAGTCTTTGGGGTCATCTATCCACTACCTACTTCCTGAGGCCCCGGTGGTAGGGACCACTGACCACACAGGGCCATTCCATCCAAGCTTCAGAGACACTCTCCCAACCTCAATCCCACATGCTGCAAGGAAAACTTGCCCCATCCCAAACCTGTTGCATTGGCAGTGCCTGGATAGGGAGAGAATCACATCTGCTCTGGAGAGTGCTAGAAAACCCCAGACCAGGCCAGATCAGGATTTCAAGCTCTGAGGTCTTTGAGTCACAGCCCATTCAGCTAACCAGATGATAAGGAGGAAATACTTCCGAGTCCTCTCTCAGATGCCTTCCCCCTTCCTGGTGCCTTAGGTACCCACCCCCACCACCACTACAGCTGGTCATGTCATTAACTGGTCTCTGTTTATCATCCCTGGAGCCAAATCTACAGCCGGTGTTGCCTATTCTGGGCCTTTGCCCAAATTTCTAGGACCACATCCTCTTCTGTGACCTCCCCACGAGGCAAGGCCACCGTGCACTCCAACAGGGCATACCACATGACCAAAGAAGGATCTGTCTTCTCAATGTGTGTCCCCTTCTCAATGTGTGTGACCATTCCACTGGGAGGTCCCTCTGCTTCCCATTCTCAGGTACAAAGTATCTGCCCTGAATCCCTCCTCCAATTTGTCACAAACTTTGGGAGAGCAGCAGGTGCAGGGCAGAGCAGGTGCAGGGAGGTGGAACATTACACAGAGGCTCCAGAGACCTCCTCAGGCCTGCTCCTAACACCTGCCAAGACTAGGGGGCTTCCTGTATAAGAAGTAACCCTCCGAGGTGCCTGAGGCCAAGCTCAGCCCTTCCCTGAGCCTGTGGCTTCATTGGGATGGACCCAGAGCAGACTCCAAGATGTTACAAGTCTATAATTCAGAGTCAGCTGAGGCTCTTGACTCTGGGACCTGGAATCGGGGGTTCCTAGACCAAGTTAGATCTTGAAGCCCAGCATCTGAGGTGCTAAAGTTCTCAAGCTCCAAATTCCAGACCTCTTCTGCCCAGTTTCCTCTAGGTCTCCTGCCAACGCTTCCTGCTGGGCTTGGTTTTCACGCTCGCCTGTCTCCCAAGAGCAAGGATCTCACTCTTGACCATACCTGCCTTGCCTATAAATGCCAGCAAGTCCTTCCTTCTTCACTATCCCCCATAAGCCCGGGTGAGCCTAATTTGGTGCCTTGAGTGGAAGCAGCCATGACCTCCACTCCTGTGTCTCCGTCTCATGCCAAGGTGGGTCCAGAGGTGCTTCTAGTCTGACTGCTTCAGATTCTTTAAATGCTGAGTAACGAAGCCCCACTCGAGGATGGGGTCCCTAAGCAGTGTTTGCAACTCCCTTGCTGGAGGGCTAGGGTACAAGTCTAAGGATTCAGCTTTTCTGCCTTCCCCAGGGTCTATCCCTAACTTACCAAAAGGAAGGTCAGGGGCCAGCACAGTGGTCTCAGCTTCATCCTCAGAGCCCGGGGTGGTCACCGGCCTAGAGCAGATAGAGGGGAAACTCAGCAGGGCAGCAGGGACAGGCAAACAGCTACTGTCCTCTCAGCACCACTTTCAGGATGACGGATTTTGACTGGAAGTTAGCAAGGTACCATTGGACAGGCAGAGCATGAGGTGGCGATACCTCCCAGGGACAAGCCTGAGCAGAGGGGTTCCCCTGCCAGGGAGTTGGTCTCATAGGGCAAGACAGGCTGGAAGGGGAGGCCCTGCAGACTAGGAGGCTTCGCGGAGGGGGAAGGGCTTCCTTCCCTTTCCTCAAACAGATGTCCTGCAGCATCGGCAAGGGAGCCTGGTAGGAAGGAAGCCTGTGTCGCAGCCTGAGACTGGGGGATGACAGGGTGGCAACCTCCCACAGCCCAAGCCTCCCCACTCCAGCCACATCTCTCCGAGCTCCTGCCACCCACTCCTCACAAGTCTGCAAGCATGCCACTCTTCCCGAGCCTCTCTGCCTCACCCTTGCTGGTTCTCCTCTAAGAAAGGCCCTTTCCTTCATGCTCTGAAGCACAATGCAAACACCTCTATTTCTAGAAGCTTCTCTAGAAGTTTTTCCCAAAGTGGGTATGGTTTTCATAGCTCCTGTGTGTTCCTCTACCCCCACCCCATCTAGGTCCTGGTCCTTCCACACCTCCTCTGGAGGGGACTGGGACGTATTTGATTGCATCTCTGCCCACGGGTAGGGTGGTCATGGCAGCCGGTGTTCAGCCTTCCATCATCTCTCCAGCACTGACTATGTGCCAGGCACTGCCCTTGGCGCCAGAGACAGACAACGTCCCTCTCCTAGGAAGCACCACTCCAGGGGAGACTGATGGCAAACACATAAAGAGTAGTCCCCCTGCCAGATGGTGGGAAGTACCAAGAGTCAAAACAAAGCAGGTTAAGGAACAGTGGGTGATATTTCAGAGGAGCCCCCAGGCCCAGACTGTGGCCTGCCCTTGAGAAGCCTCCATCCTGTATATAAGGCAGACACAGCAGGAAGTAGGACATATGGTAGACAGTGGGAGGGGCTGAGGGAGAGTGAGGAAGTCCACCAGGCACTTCCAGAGGCCCAGACTCAGGTGCAAGAGATGAGGAAGCTGTGCTCCTCGCTCCTCAGTGGTCAGCACAGGCCGCACACAACCCTCTGAAGCTCAAGGGTGTCTTCAGAGGTCAGCCACTGGCCCCGGGCCCCAGCAGGTCAAGGAGCCCTCAGCTGTCTGCTGCCAAGCCTGGCAGTGGAAGTGCTGCCTGTAGGATGTCCCAGGCCACTCGAGAGCCCCTTTTCCCTAGGCAGTCTGGGCTTCCTGCCTGGAAAAGGAGCCCAGGAAACTGATCTGCCACCTGCCCTCAAGGCCTGGCTGGGCACCGGCCCAGGAAGGTCCAAGGTTTCAGTTACACCCAGGGGAAATGGGGGGAGAGGCAGTGTTCACATCATCCTCGGGACTCTCCAGATCACTGGCAGCTGCTCAGGGGGAAACCAGGGACAGGAGAAGGGTGAAGGCTACACCTGGCAGACAACATCCAACAGATGGCACCCCTGGCCATCTAAGGAAGGCCTGCTTGTCCTTCCTCAAATTTGGTATAAGTCTTCCAATTTCTGCTCCAAGGCATCCGTTCCTCCTGCCTAGCCTAAGCTCCTACCTCAAGCCTGTTTCTGCACGGCCCCCTCCCTTGTCCTTCAGAAGTCTAACCCACAGACCTAAGAGCCCCAAGTCCTCAAACTGTCCCTACAGCCTAGCCCCCAGCTACCCTCCATGTCCCCATGCAGGTCTGGAGGGCTGGGGCAAGAGTGAAAAGAGGCAAAACCAGACAGAAGAGAGCCCAGAACCACCCCGGCCCCGGGGGCACCTGCTGGTGACCTGAGCCCACAGGAAGGCCGTGCAGCTGCTCATCTGCAGACAGACGCCATATGATCCAGACTTCCAGGAGGAAAGTGAGGGTCCAAAGGACCCGACTCAAAGCCAGTGAGGGGCTACTCAGGCATGCTCACAGACACCCGCCACCTAGGGCCCTCACGCCTTCTAATTATGTACCTTCTAATTACCCCAAACCGGCACTTACCCTAGTCTGGCTCCCCGGCCCCCACATTCAGCCCAGACTGAGCCTCAGCTGGACCTGCCAGGTCAAGTAGGAAAGCCCTGTGGGCACACATGTACATTCGTGTACATGCTGCCTGCTCAGGCCCCTGCACCTCTTCCCCAATGTGCCTCCGTCGTCTAAGACACAGCAGCAGAACTATGTACCAAAAAACAAGCCCTAAGAAGTCACTCAGCTGGAAGGGAGTCTGTAAAGACCCCACCTCTCTCCACCTCATCCTGAAGGCTGGGTAGTCAGTGGCCTCCCAAAGCCCAGCACCTCCTGAGGGCTTCAAAGAAGACAGCTGTCAGAGATGGGGAGACTGAGCCTCCCTTTCAGCTCCAGGGCCCCACAGAGGAGAACCACACCCCAGCCACACTGGGTGGGGAGGATGGGCCCCAGTGGATTTTACCAGAGAAGGAAGTTGGTAGAAGCCACTCCTCCCCCAAATCTACTAGCCTGAGGCCCTGTCCCCACTGCTACCAAATCCTTGTGGAACCTGGTCCCCTGGCTTCACCTTGCTGAGTCTCTGTTTCCTCATCTTCAACTTGGAGATGTGATATTATCTCCTATGGCAAGGCCGTCATGAAGTTTAAATGAGGTAATGAGCCTGAAGTAGGTCATGGGATTTCCTCCTCAACACCCCTTTCTTTCCTCTGCACCTGAGGTAGAAGTTTGTGTTTAAGTAGCTGTTTGCTTACTTGTTTATTCTTTGCTTCCCTCACCAGACAGCAGTAAGGGCACCAATGTCTGTTTTATTCACCACAAGACTCGGCACCCAGCCCTGTGTCTGGAGCAGGAAGCCTCCTCTAAACACCCTCACAGGGTCGGGAAGAGCTTCCTCAGACAGCCCTTCCCTAAATGCCCAAACAATCAGAATCAGAAATTCCCTGGATAAAAGCCAACTAGCAAAGGCAACAAGGAGGGTCCCAAGTTGAAGTGGAAGCCAGAGGTGGCAGAGCCCCTTGCAAGGCACAAACCTGGGGGCCCCCCAAAAAGAGGAAGCTGTGCCCAGGCTGGGCCCAAGCCATAAACAGCTTCCCCTTTCCCAGAACTGAAGCCCAGTAGGGTGACCCAGTCCCCTGCCACGCCCCTGCCCACCCCAGCCAGGCCCTCCCCTCTAGACACTCCCCAAGATCTCTCAGTGCCTGCGCCCCCTCCTCAGCCTCCAGGTCAGCCCGATCCTACAGCCTGGGTGTCTTGATGCTGAGTTCTGGCCCCTGGCCACCTCCCACCAGCTTCAGAATGGTGTCCCACACACCTCCGCCAACCTCTCACATGCATATGCCAACCACTCTGAGCCTCTTTCCATCCCCCAGACACACATCTACTATTTCCTCTGCCTAGAAAACCATCCCATTACCTGGTCAACATCTACTCTTCCTTCAGAGCTCAGCTCAAAGTCACTTCCTCTTGGAAGCCCACCCACCTGCCCCTTCCTCCTCAGCATTAAGAGCCTTGCACACCAATATCCTATTTACCCAGCCCCTTCCCCACCGTGAGTGCCAACTTGGCATGTGGGAGGGGGCGAAAGGCACCCTGGATAGAAGATACAGCTATGCCAATGTAGGGAAGGCCCGAGAGCAGGCTGATGGTAAAAGAGCCCAGAGGCTGGGGTTAGGCAGGGGTGGGCTTGAAGCAATGAATGCAATCACTGTCTTCAAGCGAAGTGTGACCAATGACCTACTCCTAGTGGCAACATCTACGCCCCATGCTGACCAAAGCCGTCACATACGCTGTGTAGTTGAGAATAGAAATAAACCCCACCTCCCCTTGACAGGAGAGAAAACATGGAGTACCATCTCGTGGTTCCTCACTGGCCTGTGCCTGTAGGTCCCTACAGAGGGCTATCGTGAGGGTGAAGTGAGAGAACTCACATCGAGTACTCAGCACAGGCCTGGCATAGGGTAAGTCCTCCAGTAAGCATTCACAGCTCTTCACTGTGCCTCAGGGTCCCTATTGTAAGCCGGGGGGCATAAACCTGACTCTCTTTTATATTTATGTTCAGTGTTTGGCACACAGGAGGGGCTGGATAAGCCATGGGGAGAATCTGGAGGAGGGAGGAGTCTATGGGGTTGATGGGCAGTGCCCAGGTCAGAACAAGCATCAGCCACAAGCTGAGAAGCTTGTACTTCCTCAGGGCCTATGGGAGCCTCAAAGGGTTAAATAGGGGAGGGAGAGGCATGGAACAGCCTGCGTCTCAGCGGGCTCTCCGGGCTGCCTGCCAAGTGAGGCTGTACTGGGGGAGCTGGAGGTGGCGGCAGGTGCCCACCTGGAGCAGAGCAGTGGGGAGGCAGGTACTCTGCTTCCTAGCCAGTGATCCAGGGCCTGTGGACCTCCCTCCAGCCTCCAGAGGCTGGGGTTGCCTGGAAACACAGCTGGACACAGCTTCCCAGGAAGACAAAGGCTGCCCATCCACAGAGAAATCCAGGTTAGCAAGGAACCCAGTGGTTCCCTGGCAACTGGGGCTGAAGTAGGGCAGTGCCCTACTGGGTGGCAGCTAGGGTAATGAGACACTGCTGGCTTCCCCTCCACCACTCTTATGGGAAGGGAATGTCCCCCACCCAGTGCAGGCGAGGCCCTGGTCTGCCTCCAGTCCTCGCAGGAGAGGACAGCATTCCTATCTCACACCTGGGTAAACTAAGGTCAGGAGAGGTCACCTGTGGGGGTCACAGGCAGTAAGTAGTGAGGAAGAATGGAGCCCAGGACAGTCTCCTCCCTGCCTCCTCTCACCCTGCAGCCTTGCCCAGGGCCTGGCACATAGTGACACCCTCAGGGTATTTGCCAACCTGATGGCAGAGGTTAGGAAGCCAGCACACACAGTAGGTGGTTCAACTGAGGGTCTGTTACAGAGGCCCCAGGGGAAGGTGCTATCCCCACCTGCAGTCTCTGTGGCCTCTGGGATTTGCCTGCATACCCATTTGCATATTGCCCTGGTCTGTACCAACTCTGGCAG